TAGATAAAATTGTCTAAGTTTGTCTTTACAGATAATGCAGTCTACTCCACTGCTAACACTGACCCTGTTGGTGCTATCGATACTAGCATCTACGACTATCCGACCAGGTCTTCCTCAATTACAAAGTCTACTGCACAATCTAAGGTATATCGAATCAGCTTCACACCTCTGCCAACCAAAACAGATACACTTTGCCCCATGTCATGTGAATATATTGCAGACCTGGTCTGCATCACCTCTCGAGTACTACTCCACTATGGAGTACACGGAAGTGGTGGACATCTCACAAGACATGACCTCAGTCTCATTTGCGAAGGTATTGTATTATACTACTGAATCTCATGAATATATACTGTGAGAGTTGTGACTCTTTCACAAGGCAAGTGTTGCTTCCAGTGACTATGAGGTGCCCTACTATACACCTGCCAATCTAGAAGACGAGCTGTATTCCCAGCTGAGAGATGAGAAAATCAAGGCCATACAGAGGAAAGACATTGAGTGAGTTTAGCTGCATGGCATATCTTGACAAAGGTAGTGTGTCTGTCAAATTCCTCAGGATTGATGAGAGACTTGGAAGTGGGGAGTTTGGTGATGTGGTGAAGGGATACTGGAAGTCAGCGGACTACTCAGTGGAAGTGGCTCTGAAGACCCTCTCAGGAGGACAGGGACAGGAGGGCCGGAGGAAGCTGCTCCAGGAGGCGACCATCATGTCTCAGTTCAGGCACCCCAATGTCGTCAAACTCTACGGTGTGGTCAATGATGATAATGACAAGGTGAGGTGTTCTCCATAGGTCTCTGTCACATCTCACTTACTATTCTCCCTAGCTGATGCTTGTACTGGAGCTACTGGGTAAAGGGGACCTTCGCCAGTTGTTGCATACCATGAGACCTGAGTAAGTTTATTGACCCTGCAGGACATTAGAACATGTTACTTCTTCTAACTTTTAAACACAGCCCAGGGCAGCTGGTCTCCCCCCAAACACCAATGAAGCTTCTAAACCACTCCCAGCAGATTGCTGTTGGACTGCAGTACCTCTCCAGGAAGAACTTTGTTCACCGTGATTTGGCTGCAAGAAACATACTCATTTCAAACAACAACACTTGCAAGGTTTGCTTCTTAGTATGTTATAAATTGTATTTCCTCTGATTAATACTATAGATCAGTGACTTTGGCATGGCTCGGAACCTAATTGAGGATGACTACTATGTGTCCCAGGGAGGGAAGATCCCTCTCAAGTGGACAGCTCCAGAGGCTCTTGTCTACCACAAGTACTCTACTGCCAGTGATATGTGGAGCTATGGCTGTGTGCTCTATGAGATATGGAGCCTTGGACACAAGCCTTTTGAAAGCATGAGCAACCAAGAGGTGTGCAAGTGGTAGAGCTTGTGAAAACAAGCCACCTTTTCAACTGTGATATTTTCGTATGTAGGTTCTATTGAAGGTAGAGGCTGGCTATCGCCTTCCTCCACCACCTGGTTGTCCCCAAGTCATCTATGGCCTCATGATTCGCTGCTGGTAAGACCAGCCAAGATTGAGAATCAATCCACTCAGTTATCCCCACTACATTCAAGGCACCCGGATCCTTCCTCCCGACCCACTGCTGCTGACATAGTGCTGGCTCTGATGGAGAATGAGGAGACAGTGTTGAGGGTTCCAGAGGAGGATGCTGCCACCAGCAGACTGTGGAGTCCTGGGAGCTCCTCTGGAGGCCGGACAGGACATGTACCTTCACCAGCAGGAGACCTACCACTTATCTAGTCCACCCCCTATGACTAACCTATGATTATTGATACTGGTCATCTCTCATTGTGTGAGCGCGATCGATGGAGCATGCGCGAGCGAAACAAAAGTAGGTGGGGCTCGTCTGCTAGCTCACGCAACCCGCGAGGACGAAGACAGTAAAAATGTGGCTGACCGTGTTCTTGCTAACTGCAGGATTACGTGAGTTGTGGATGTAAAAGAGGCTTATGTGTGAAAGGGAACTGCTTCCCTTGTTCTCTCACCAGTAGCCTCGGCGGTGTCCCAGACCTGCCCCAGCTACACGGCTGGCTTCACGGGGACGAATGAGATCCACGATTCATCCAGCGGTATGCTCTACGTTAACGAGGCTCCCTCGTCTTTCTGGGCTCCGTGTGACGGCACCGTGTACCGCTGGCACTACTGCTACTACCCCGTTCAGAGACAGAACGACCTGGAAGTAGCATTTGGGGCATTTCGAGCGACGACTGACGACGGTGATGTAGATCGCTACTACCTCCGTACTGGTAGCTACTACCTCCTACACTTGGACGCAAGGGAGAGTAGTTTCACGTGTGGCTCGGTCGACCTGGACGAGCAACACTATTTCCAGATCTACGAAAATGACAGAGTCGGTGCTTGCATGAGAAACGGCAACAATGAGTTCCTAGACATTCTAGCTGAGAGTGGCCCCAATAATTACAGAGTGGGGAGGTGGGGCAGTAGCTCTGGCTCGTGCCAGGAGAGCGACATGTCTCAGTCTTCAGAAGGGCCAAACACTGAACAACAATTTATACTCCACCTCTATGTGGACATAAGTAAGCATCTTTACCAACCACTAAATGTTATGAACACGATCCTTCAATTAGATATTGACGAGTGTGCTCTGAGTGAGGACAACTGTCACGATACTCTTGCCTACTGCACTGATGTGTGTTGGAGGAGAGGACAGCTTCAACTGCGCCTGTATTGCTGGCTACACTGGTGATGGTGTCACATGCAACAGTGAGTAAATAGCCTATATTTCTTAGATAGTACACTATGCAGCGCATTTTCGGCAAACCAACGCAAGTGCAAAGGTTCAGCGGTTTTAAGTAGAACATACGTTAAGTGAGAGTGTGGGTAGCATACAATCAGGCATAATATGTACGTAGGCTCGCTTTGATTAGGCCACCTTCACACACTTAGTTTGTCATAGCGTTCAAAGTGGTGAAGATTCTGAAGTTCTGGCATACAAGTGTTTTTGGGTGTCAGGCTATAAGGAAACTTTAATCGCTAACAACCAATCATTCTGAAAAGGCCTTAAACTACGTTGGATTCTGTATGAATGCAATATTCCTGTAGATATAGATGAGTGTCAGCTGGAGTTGGATGCATGTGTGGAGAATGCAAATTGCTCAGATACTGAGGGCAGCTACGGGTGCATGTGTGCAACTGGATATAGTGGAGATGGTCTGGTCAATTGTGAGAGTGAGTCCCTGCAAATGCACTTTCATCATCAACTGACATCACCTTTGTGTTTGTGCAAGTCAAATATGCAACTGATAACATTATAATTTTGTGGTCTCTTTCTCCCAGACGTCAATGAGTGTACTGAGGATACCCACATGTGCGATGACGTAGCTATGTGTTCAGACACAGTGGGCAGCTACACCTGCACCTGTAGCACTGGATATACGGGCACAGGATTCACCTGCAATGGTAACCATACAGGAAGCAATATTGACATGTATTATCACCTAAAAATTCCATGAATTTTCGCCGCAACTTGTCACAGACACTGATGAGTGTGAAGATGGCACTCATGGCTGTGATGACAACAACGCAGAGTGCACTAACACTGATGGCAGCTACACTTGTTCCTGCTCTTCAGGATACAGTGGAAATGGCACTTTCTGTGACGGTCGGTCTACCATGCACTTTTTAGCACGTGTACATGCTTATCTGATATTCCTGCACATGCATTAGATACCAATGAGTGTGAGACGTCTTCAGTGAACTGTGACTCAAATGCCTCGTGTATGAATACTGCTGGGAGCTATGAGTGTACTTGTGAAGGTGGCTACAGTGGAGATGGATTATCATGCACTGGTGAGTACTAGTATTTCAATAAATATTTTTACCAAAACCGAAAACAGATATCGACGAGTGTGAAGCTAGTACTGACAGTTGTGATGAGGATGCAAACTGTACCAATACTGATGGCAGCTACACATGTTCCTGTTTATCTGGATTCTCTGGAGATGGAACCACATGCACTGGTCTGGATTAACTCTTGTATCCATAAGCCATAATGTTAGTAAAAATTCTTCCTTTTTTGCACAGATATCAATGAGTGTGAAATCTCTCCAGCAATGTGTGGCTCAAATGCTTTATGTACGAATACTAATGGTAGTTATTTGTGCACTTGTGATGAAGGCTACAGTGGAAATGGAGCAACATGCACAGGTTAATACCACAATAGTCGCTGTCAAGCAATACTCATTATTTTGACAAACAGATATCGAGGAGTGTGAAGCTAGTACTGACAGTTGTGATGAGGATGCAAACTGTACCAATACTGATGGCAGCTACACATGTTCCTGTTCTACTGGATACTCTGGAGATGGAATGACATGCACTGGTCTGGACTGCATTTCTCTAGGCCATGATGCTGGAGAACATTCTTTTTTGTACAGATATCAATGAATGTGAAACATCTTCAGTGATGTGTGACTCAAATGCCTCATGTATGAATACTGCTGGGAGCTATGAGTGTACTTGTGAAGGTGGCTACAGTGGAGATGGACAGACATGCGCAGGTCAGTGCTGAATGCTCCCTGTCAAATCTTGCCTCATAACAGGCATCCTACAACAGATATTGACGAGTGCGCGGCAGGTACAGACGGTTGTGATGAGAATGCAAACTGTACCAATACTGATGGCAGCTACACATGTTCCTGTTTATCTGGATACTCAGGAGATGGGGTGACCTGTGTTGGTAAGATAGCCACAAAGGAATGTTTTGGGTAATCAAATACTAGCTCCTGTTATTCTAGGAGTCGAACTATCTGCAGCGGTATGTGTCTATGCTAACCCTTGTAATTGTTTCGTGCACAGATATCGATGAGTGTGAAACCCCCTGCTACTGTATGTGATTCAAATGCCCTCTGTACTAACAATCCTGGCAGCTATGAGTGCAATTGTACTGAAGGCTATGCTGGAAACGGAGCATCATGCACCGGTTAGCACTGATGGTATCCGTCTTCTTTCACTAGCATTTGGCATTCACAGATATCAATGAGTGTGAAGTTGGGACTTACAGTTGTGATGAGAATGCAGACTGTGTCAATATTGCGGGGAGCTACTCTTGTGTATGTGAGTCTGGATACACTGGAGATGGATTTTCCTGTTTTGGTAAGACATCCCCATACACTTATGAACAACCTCCCCCCATCCATGGAACACACTATTATACAGATATTGACGAGTGTGATGAAAGCTCAAATTCAGAGTGTGATTCAAATGGCTTATGCACCAACATTGTTGGGAGTTATGAGTGTTCCTGTGTAGATGGCTACAGTGGAGATGGTTTCTCGTGCACTGGTGAGCATGACTGTGAGAATAATGTACAGCTACCTAACACATAACTATGGAACAGATATCAATGAGTGTGAGACCGGCATTGCCAGTTGCAGTGAGAATGCAGACTGCACTAACACAGAAGGGAGCTACAATTGCTCTTGTTCAGTTGGATTCACTGGAGATGGAATCATCTGTACTGGTATGTGCTTGTTTAATTGTAATCATAAGGTGTGAAGTGCACACTTAGTCAACAAGGCATTGATCACTTTTCAGATATCAATGAATGTTTATTTGATGAGACATGTGACCGTGATGCAACCTGCAACAATAATGATGGTAGCTACACATGTCAGTGTAATAGTGGCTACACTGGCAATGGGAGCTCCTGCTCAGGTACGCTTATAGGTGATGCATCACTCACTAGTCTAACACATACATTCTTCCCACAATAGTTCACTCAATGACATATCACGGTGTGTATTTTCTGCAGATATCAATGAGTGTGAGGATAGCACTGAGAGCTGTGCTGAAAACGCAGAATGTACTAATACTCAAGGAAGCTACTCTTGTTCCTGTTCACCTGGGTATACTGGAGACGGAACCATCTGCAATGGTAAGTATGACCCTGTATTAGTTGGGCAATCATACACACAGGAAATGATATTGGTGCAGACGTCAATGAATGCATGGAAAGCGACGTGTGTGATTCCAAAGCAACCTGCTTCAACATGGACGGTGCCTATACATGTCAGTGTAACGCTGGCTATAATGGTGACGGGACCATCTGCTCAGGTACACTCATCAACATCTGTAGGCAGGTATCTGTCAGGTATATACACTCATAGTAGAATTTTGTGTAGACAATTATAGATTTGCCAGTGGTATTTAGTGCACCTAAACAATAACAAATCTGTTCCAGATGTGAATGAGTGCGATGCTGGTACAGCCAGTTGTAATGAGAATGCAGAGTGTGCCAATACTGATGGTAGCTACACATGTGCCTGCTCAGCTGGATATGCTGGAGATGGAGCATTTTGTGTTGGTAGGGATGCCTCCTTGCTAAGCTAGCTAACAATAGCGACAAGCTCATCATGTTGTGCGGCAGGTATTGAAGACTGTTTGCAAAACGAAGCTTGTGACTGCCTCGACATAGACGGTCTGTACACATGTCAGTGCATCACTGGCTACGCAGGCAACGGAACAATCTGCTCAGGTGAGTTCATGTACAAGCAGGCCACCAAGCATCAAGACCTCTTGACTATGCATGCACCCATATTGAATTCATCTGGTATCTCCTGCAGATATTGATGAGTGTACCAGTGAGACTCCCTGTGATCCTAATGCCCAGTGTAGCAACACAGCAGGCAGCTACACCTGCCAGTGTATGGGAGGCTTTTCTGGAGATGGAATAATATTATGTGAAGGTATGTACAACTAGTCAACATTTTGGCTGTGTATATACCTCTCATAACTGTTCTAATCAGAAATTGAACCAACGTTGGAAGAGGCAGAAGGCTCTGAGGGTTCTCAGAGTTCTGGAAATGTGCTTGCAATAATTCTGGGTGTTGTGGGATCACTCCTAGTACTCTCCATTGTCGTCATTGTGGCTATCTACGTCATCAGAAAGAAGAAACTATTGCCCACCTACAAGCCTCATCAAAGTGGGATGGGAGGGATCGGTAAGTCAGAACTATCTGACCATCCACTTATACGTAGGTTATTGCTTCCAAATGGCAGACAATGCAATCTATTCAATAATGATGGAGGGGTTGTGCAACTTGGAGGTATCAACACTACTCCCTATGATTATAGCTACCCAACTCTGACCACATTGGATACCAAGCCCCCGGTATAATATGGTTGACAATAGTAGATCATCACAACATCAAAGTACATGTCTACAGGTTTGGTCCTCTTCACCTCTCGAGTTCTACTCCAGTGCTGAGTATAGCGAGGTGGTCGGCATCTCACCGGACAATTCTTCCATCTCATTCAGAAAGGTAAAAAGAAGCACCAACTATAAACAATGTTAAGAGATGCCTTTTCCTCCAATAGACAAGTGGAAGTGTTGGTCAGTATGAAACACAGTATTACCTGCCAGCCAGTCAGGAAGAAGATTTGTACTCTCAGTTGAGGCGAGAGAAGATCAAAGCTATACCAAAGGAAGAAATTGAGTGAGTTTTAAAAAAGCACTGGCACACAAATATCTTTTATGCACATGCTGAGTGAGAGTGTACTGTGCCATGGGACAGTTGGTCAAGGTTTGCCTTTGTCTTAGATTTGAACATCTACCTGCTGGTAGCTGGTAGCTCCCTTACCTAGAGCAGAGTGTCGTGGGTTCAAATCCCACCTTTCAGTTCTTTTTGGAGAAAAGTGTTGTCCTAGGTGTAGTTGTGTTGACCTCGTTGACGACACACACTAGTGGGGAGTATCACAAGGTATCACAACATGTCCATATTCCGGTCCTCAGGATTGATGAGAGACTTGGAAGTGGGGAGTTTGGTGATGTGGTGAAGGGATACTGGAAGTCAGTGGACTACTCAGTAGAAGTGGCTCTGAAGACACTCTCAGGAGGACAGGGACAGGAGGGTCGGAGGAAGCTGCTCCAGGAGGCGGCCATCATGTCCCAGTTCAGGCACCCCAATGTCGTAAAACTCTACGGTGTGGTCAATGATGATAATGACAAGGTGAGGTGTTCTCCCCACTGATCTCTGTCACATCTCACTTACTATTCTCCCTAGCTGATGCTTGTACTGGAGCTACTGGGTAAAGGGGACCTTCGCCAGTTGTTGCACACCATGAGACCTGAGTCAGTTTATTGACCCTGCAGGACATTAGAACATGTTACTTCTGCTAACTTTTAAACACAGCCCAGGGCAGCTGGTCTCCCCCCAAACACCAATGAAACTGCTCAACTACTCTCAGCAGATTGCTGTTGGACTGCAGTACCTCTCCAGTAAGAACTTTGTCCACCGTGACTTGGCTGCAAGGAACATCCTCATTTCAAACGACAACACCTGCAAGGTAGTTTACTGCTATGACCAATCTGTACTCTGAACACCTGCTGGTACGTTACAACTTGGACATTCAACAGATCAGTGACTTTGGCATGGCTCGGAACCTAATCGAGGATGACTACTATGTGTCCCAGGGAGGGAAGATCCCTCTCAAGTGGACAGCTCCAGAGGCTCTTGTCTACCACAAGTACTCTACTGCCAGTGATGTGTGGAGCTATGGCTGTGTCCTCTATGAGTTATGGAGTCTTGCACACAAGCCTTTTGAGAGCATGGCTAACCAAGAGGTGTGTATGACACCTATTTTGGCCACCCAGGCTTACTGTCCTAAAACACTCACCCTTGTGTACTCTTCAATGCTCAATAGCTATGTGTTTGCACTTCACTTTTCTAAAACCCTTTTTCTGCACTTGGTCCTACCAACTAGGGGGCATTAGCTTATGTTGGGTGCAGTGCCTAGTCTAGCATCCTTCCTTGTCACTGTGTTCTATAGGTTCTGGTGCAGGTAGAGGCTGGCTATCGCCTTCCTCCACCACCTGGCTGTCCCCAAGTCATCTATGGCCTCATGATTCGCTGCTGGTAAGACCAACCAAGATTGAGATCATACCACTCAGTTATCCCCACTACATTCAAGGCACCCGGATCATTCCTCCCGACCCACTGCTGCTGACATAGTGCTGGCTCTGATGGAGAATGAGGAGACAGTGTTGAGGGTTCCAGAGGAGGATGCTGCCACCAGCAGACTGGCTGGAGTCCTGGGGAGCTCCTCTGGAGGCCGGACAGGACATGTACCCTGACCTACAGGAGACCTACTACTCATCCTTTCAAGCTCAAATGTCTTCCTTGTGAACTCTTTGCACTACATATATACCGATGCTGGTCATCTCAAAACCTACACACATGCACATTATAATGCTGGTCGTTGTCGCGAAGATGATTTTGTAAATTAATTGCGTGGGTTGCAGGGACCGCTGCATGCGGCTACGACGGCGGCGTATGATGTTGTGCACAAGCGCCTGCCGGCCGCCGGCCCCCAGTATAATAGTCTCGTGCCCAGACCCCGCCCTCTCTCGGTCTGGTGACTATTGAGCGTTTTACTTTTGAGACACCGAATCAGATTGCAGTGAAATATCACATGATGTTATGTAATAGATCGTAACGCAGCTCCGTGGATCCACGACGAACGAAAACGGGCTTTTCTGCGCATGCACTCGACAATGATGAGTCAGCACAACCAAGAAAACGCTCATACTTTTCCTCGAGAGAGGAGCTCCGGAGAGAGAGAGAGAGGGCGGGGTCTGGGCACGCCCCCAGGGGACTATATTATAGCGTGTCTACGGCGGTTGGGTGGGGTTCCTGTTGCGCTGTTGAAATTTGCAGAGCTCTTGTAGCGTGTATACAAACAAGATGATCTCCTTAGCGTTATCGCCTCTCGTTCTCTGCATTATTTGGAGTAAGATTCAGTCAATGGATAGCACACTACTATGGCACTCTTATTTTGCAGGATTTTCAGATGCACAGACTTGTCCAGAGTATACTGCTGGTAGTACTAACACAAATGAAGGCAGCTCAAACACAATTTCAGCTATCTACGTCAACAACAGAAACTCTGAGGCTGCCCCGTGCACCGGTACGGTCTATGCCTGGCACTATTGCTATTACAACGAGAACAGCGAGAGCAATCTCGAGGCAGCTTTCGGAGCGTTCTCGTTCAGCAACAATGTGTACACACTCCGTGATGGCAGCTACCATCTACTGCATCTGGACACACGACAAACTGCCTTCACTTGTGACACTCTGACACTGGAACCCTCGGAGTACTTCCAGATACAGGAAGGAGACAGAGTGGGAGCTTGTCTCAGACACAATGGAGATATAGACTACCTTGACATTCTCAAGGACACGCCGTTTGATCAGTTTTCAATTTACGTTCACATTTGGTCTCAGAGTGATGGTGGGTGTGCAGCTAGCGACATGACAACCTCCACTACAATTGGCCTCTGACACAGAGCAATCTACTTCATCTCTATGCTGACATCAGTAAGTTTAGATACAGCTATGTTAGCTAGTTGCAATTTATTTTCTAGACATTGATGAATGTACTCTTAACGAGGATGACTGCTCTGAGTTTGCTACCTGCTCTGATATTGTGGGAGGAGAAGGAAGCTTCCAGTGTACCTGTAACACTGGATACTCTGGAGATGGCACTGCATGCAACAGTAAGCGATCCGAGAACATGCCTAGAATCTCAATGTTGAAACCTTGCAGATATTGATGAGTGCTCAACTGATATGCACAACTGTGCAGACCAGGCTACATGTACAGATACTGAAGGTAGTTTTAGCTGCACTTGTAACACTGGATACTCTGGAGATGGTAGAAACTGCAACAGTAAGTGTGAAAAAGAATCGGTCTAGACCTAGTTTCAATAATATCATATAGATATTGATGAGTGCAGTGCTGGTGCTCATAGCTGTGCACAGCAGGCAACATGTGCTGACACTGATGGCAGTTTCCTTTGTACCTGTAATACCGGATACACTGGCGATGGGACTGGATGCATTGGTCAGAATAAAGTAAATCATAACTGACCCCATAGGAAACAGGACAACTTCTACAGATGTTGATGAGTGTGAACTAAACTATTGTGACGAGAATGCAAACTGTGGTAATATGGACGGTAGCTACACCTGTGTTTGTTCATCTGGATATTCTGGAGATGGATTAGATTGCTTCAGTAAATGTTTATAATTAATGTGCGATAACTAATAATATAGCCCTCTTTTAAAGATATTGATGAATGTGCTACAAATGTGAGCAACTGTGCAGAACAAGCTACATGCACTGATTTTGAAGGCAGTTTCCTCTGTACGTGTAACACTGGATACACTGGAAATGGCTTTGATTGCAGCGGTCAGTTACCAATCTGATCAGGTACATGTGTCCTATTAGATATGCTTTGCAGATATTGATGAATGTGACGGTGATAACAGTTGTGATGAGAGTGCAGAATGTACTAACTCGGTGGGGACCTATTCCTGTTTGTGTTTACCTGGATACTCTGGGGATGGAATGACCTGTTTCGGTATGTTCAAGTGTGTACCTACTTGCTCATGCTACTAAATACACTGCCCTTCAGTCGTCTGTGATCCGAGCTGTCACGCGAATGCAGAGTGTACACTAACCGGGGACTCTACTAGCTGTGTGTGTGGAGTGGATACTCTGGGGATGGCATAACTTGTGACGGTGAGGAAGGAAATTTTCTCTGCGTATAAATCAGGAACTTATTCGGTTTTAGATATCGACGAGTGTGATATGGGTCTTTGTTCTGGCAATGCCGATTGCAACAACACTGTGGGTAGCTACACCTGCCAGTGTCAGTCTGGGTTTAGTGGAGACGGGGAGACATGTTCTGGTAGGTAACTTTTGCACCATTCTCTGTGTAGTGTGTGTGTGCACCAAACTGCCTAGATATTGACGAATGCACGAATGAAGACAGACAGTTGTGATGTTAATGCAATGTGTACCAATACCATGGGCAGCTACTCTTGTTCATGTCTATTTGGATACTCGGGAGATGGAGAGATGTGCATCGGTAGGAGTACACTTATGCTATGTGACTGGACTATACTCAATCCATACAGATGTGAATGAGTGCGTGGAAACTGAGAATGCATGCAGTAGTTTCGCCAGATGTGCCAACACTAATGGGAGCTACATGTGCTACTGTCATCTTGGGTATATGGGAGATGGCATCAACTGCATGGGTAAGATCACTAACCCATGAGTAAGAGCCTAAGTAATGCATTGATTAAGGGTAAGCAGTTGGTATGACCAGCTCGTAACCCGATATAGATATTGATGAGTGTGGGAGTAATGGGATCTGTGGGAATGGAAGTGATTGCCAAAACAGTGTTGGTAGCTACTCCTGTTCATGCACTGATGGGTATGTTCTAGAAGACAACTTTTGCACAGGTACAATGTGACAAAATAGAGTACCCAATATGAAGCGTCGTTAAACCTAATTCTTAGATATGGATGAGTGTCTGCAAGAGAGTACAGAACCTTTGTGTCAGGATAACAGTGAATGTATGAATGTTGAAGGGAGTTACATGTGTAGATGTGTGGATGGCTACTCGGGAGAGAGCTGTGCAGGTAAATGCACCCAGCTCTTATGAACACTCTGTCCTATAGCATTACGCTGCAGATATCAATGAGTGTGAGGAAGGCTCTTACAGTTGTGGTGATAATGCAGCCTGTAACAATATTGACGGTAGCTACAATTGCTCCTGTTTACCTGGATTCTCTGGAGATGGACAGATGTGCAGTGGTATGTTGCGTGATACGATACCTTTGTGTGCGTGTCATGTTTGCTGCTCCATCAGACATTGACGAGTGTGGCCGTGATAGTAATAACAACTGTGCAGTAAATGCCACGTGTAACAATACTTTTGGAAGTTTCAACTGCCGCTGTTTGTCTGGTTATGATGGAGACGGAGTATCATGCATAGGTAAATGATATCTGGATAGTTGAAGATTTTTGTTTTGATGTCTGGTATATACATACTTTTTTTAGATATTGACGAATGTGAGAGGGGAAGTGACAGTTGCGATGAAAAATGCAGACTGTTACAACAATGACGGGAGCTACACCTGTACTTGCAAGCAAGGCTACACAGGAAATGGAAACATCTGCTCAGGTATATACCTGTAGTCCCATGCATGCTACTTTTGTCCTATGACTCTACTACACACAGATGTTGACGAATGCACAGAGTCCCCAGTAGTCTGTGCTGGAGCTGAAAGGTGTGACAACACAAGAGGCAGCTACCAGTGCCTCTGTGAAGCTGGTTATACTTGGGATGGCAATTCCTGTGGAGGTATATTATTATACTAAGCAACCTATACAAGAGTCACATGTGTTTAGTCGGATATCACAAAGCCTGATGACACACCCATGAATAATGCGGACACCTTTCACTCCCACCCATACTGTCATCTCATATTCCAGATGTAGATGAGTGCAGCATGGGCATGTCCAACGAGTGCAGTCCAGTAGCTGAATGTGTTAATACTATTGGTAGTTACAGCTGCCAGTGCACACAAGGCTACAGAGGGAATGGCTCATATTGCTTAGGTATGGAAAGGAAATTATCCTAGACTTACATATCCCTTTCCCTAGCTTTGTTGCTAGGAGATCTGCACGCTCAGGTATATTTGCAAAACATACCTGAGCAGGCTGTTGATAGAGTTTTTTTCCACGTTCAGTTAATTTTCAGGTCCATTGAGTACATTTTAAGTGTTACTTACGCTGTAAAAGATTTTGTACCCATTTATTAGTGTTCAGAGTCTGATGGTAGTTTACTGTTGAACATTGCAGACATCAATGAATGCTATGAGCAATCTTATGACTGCCATCAAAATGCCAACTGCTCAAATACTGACGGAGGCTATGAATGCCACTGCTCTGGTGGCTACACAGGCAATGGAACTGAGTGTGAAGGTAGTTTATTAGGATTGTTCATAGCTATCAAGCACATTATCTTTGACTCATATTATGGTTATTTGCATCAGTTACTTCACTGGGTTAAGCTGATACAATGGGTTTAAAACATGTACCGATTCACAATCACCTAGACATACAATAATATGCTGCACCAAAGTATTGTCATTTTAACCCTCTCCTAGGGGTACATTATTAACACACAGTGTTTGGTATATAGCAGCTTATTTGCTGCATGTTTTGCACCAACATGAATGCTAATTATTGCTAGTTTTCTGCAAACATTTAGATATAAGACCAACAACATTGAAAGGTAAATTTATCGTGAACGCACAACTTTCAAGTTTTGTCTTGTAGCCATCTAAACGTTTGAGGAAAAGATGCATAACTTGTAAAATCATGAACACGGGTGTGGCAACCAAAGATGACTAAACTCTAGCCCCACATAAGTGATGATGCAATACCCAACATTAATCTGTGCGTTTTTTACCCCATACATGCACTGTCCCCATTCAATCTATATCGCTTTCCACTTTAGCCGTGCCAGAAGTAAGTGGACCTGAAAGGCAGAGAGGCAGTGAGAGTGGTCCAGGGATAGGGCTGGTGGCTGGGGTGGTAGTGGCCGGACTACTACTGGTAGTTGTGGTGTTGATAGTAGTTGGGATTCTATGTGCTTTCAAGATCAGGCTTCGCTCAAAGTCGGTGCGTCTTCCCACATCTGCCGACCCTGGTTTTGGTAAGTACAAGTTTATCATGTCCCCGAGAGAGAATATCACTTGTGATGCTTGGAAATAACCACAGACAACGTAATCTATGGAGCATCAAATGGAAGCATTCAGATGGGCTCTATAAGGAAACAATCCAATAGTGGAGGTCCATTGCAAAACTGTTCCTCTGCTACCGACGAAAATGAACTAGTAAGAAAATGTATAAACCTAATGGGTTAATGAATCTCTATCGAAACTCACAGAGAGTCTTAGAAAATCCTATGTATAATGGAATACCGGCACATGGGGAGGAGGAATCACACCTTTCCTCTCTCTATGACACTCCTATGGAAAAGCAGACATACAGTGTACAAAGTTGTGTGGAGAGTAACGTGTACGACTATGCCTCTTTACCACAAGGAGGGTGCCCTCAAAATGTGAGTCATCACACTGAACTTGTAAACAGTGGATCTGAGAGGTTTTTCCTCATGGCACACCTACAGGGAAATGGTGCTCCATTAGAGTGCTATTCAGCCGTTGATTACTACTCTACACTTAATGAGTACAGCTACATGGAGCAAGACTATGGTGACATCATCAAGAAGGTATGCTATTGATAGTGTAATAACGGTAGGGCCACTGTGGGTATATTAAACAGGTTGAGAGGTGTGGTGGAGCAGTAGAGGAGGATGGTGCCAATCTCTACTACAGTCCGGCTGAGAGAGAAGATGAGCTCTACCAACAGCTCCAGAAACAGAGAATAAAGTCCATCCCTAGCTCACATATCAAGTATGCATACACACAAGCTGACGCAACAATTGATTTGTTACTGTCCACCAGAAAACTCGGAGTTCTTGGATCCGGTGAATTTGGGACTGTCTGCAAGGGCCAATGGGTCTATGCTGACAAGAAATTGGATGTGGCAATCAAGGTTCTCTCAGATGCTTCAGACGAGACCAGTAAAGTCAAGTTCCTGCAGGAGGCAGCCATCATGTCCCAGTTCAGACACCCAAATGTCATCAAGCTTTACGGAGTTGTTAGTGATGGACGTGAGGTATGTATCAATCCAGATAAACCTAAACACAATTCTCGTTACCTTCTCCATTATCAGATAATGCTCATAGTGGAACTGCTAGAAAAGGGAGACCTACGCCAGGCACTCAATAAAATGAGACCAGAGTAAGCCAATGTCTGGCAGTATGGGTAAATGCCATTTTCTCTCCTCTCAGTCCTGGTCAACTCCACTCAGTTGATCTTCCCCTGACTCTGTTGGCCTTCAGCCGCCAGACTGCCCTGGGGATGCTCTACCTCTCAGGGAAAGGCTTTGTCCACAGAGACATAGCAGCCAGGAACATCCTTCTCTCTCACAACAACATCTGCAAGGTCTTATTGCCAAAGACCGCTTAGTATAATTATAGTGTTTTAGAGTACTACACTTTCCAGATAAGCGACTTTGGGATGTCACGTGATTTGGAAGATGAAAACTACTACATGTCTCAGGGAGGGAAGGTGCCAGTCAAGTGGACAGCTCCAGAGGCTCTTGCCTACAAGAAGTACTCAACTGCCAGTGATGTGTGGAGTTATGGCTGTCTCCTCTATGAGATATGGAGTCTTGGACACAAGCCTTTTGAAGGATACACCAACCAAGAGGTGAGAAAGCTGTGTGCTATATCTATGACTCTATATATTATTGCTGGTCACCTGACCTTTAGCCAATCAGATATCTTCATTTGTTCACATTAAATAAAACTGCACAACTTCACATTGATGCATGTTACGAAAGGTGCGACGTTTGTTGCCCAATCGCCTACACGGAGAACGTACTGTGCATTTCACTGCAATTCCATCTTCGGCATGCACTAAAACCAAACAAACCACTTCAATTTGTGTTTTTACATAAACAATGCAGGTTGTTCAGCAGCTGCAGACAGGATACCGCTTGCCTCCCCCTCCTGGCTGTCCAGAGGCAATATACAACCTAATGATGGACTGCTGGTAACAACGTTAAACAATTAGAAAGTGATTCTTTGTAACACTCTGGCCATATTTCATAGGAACCCAGATCCAGCCGAGCGTCCAACATTCCAGCAGATTCTCCTGACTCTTCTGGGAGATGACAAGGCTCTACTGGCAGTTCCTACAGAGGAGAGGGCCTCTCACAGTCTGGCTGGAGTCCTGGGGTCTCCACTGGAGGCCGGCCACAGCATGTACCTCAACAGACAGAACTCCTACCTTACCATCTGATATAGACAAATAGCTAAATGGCTAGGCCTTGAGATACATTGTATTGCATCAACAATTGTGTGCCATACTCACTGCACAGTTCCTAGTATTAGGTTAACTATACCCATAGCTGTGATGGAGAATGAGAGGACCGTGTTGGTATGAACTAGAGGAGGATGCTGCAAGCAACAGACTGTCGATCTTAGACTCTGGAATCGACGCCCGCGCTGGCTCGCGAACGACGCATGCGCAAAAATCGAACGCTAGGATGTTTGCGGGCGGGGCTAGGTGGACGGCGTTATAATACCAAGCTAGCCGTTGGCATATCCATGCCACTGCGAGCGAGACGAGCCTAAGGGTGGTTCGTTCAATGACAATAAAGCAGCATGATGGATGTGACTATCCTGCTCTCGCACGTAATCTTGGCTACTTTGATACGTGAGTTAGCGCTGTTGAGACAAAATAGCCCATAAAATTATTATGAACAGGCATATTAGATGCACAGTCGTGTTCGGACTACACTGCTGGCAGCACCGACACTAGTGAGGACAACACAACCACTAATGCGGCCATATATGTGAACAGGAGGCGCAGGAAGAAGCTGAGTGTAGTGGAACAGTGTATGCGTGGCACTACTGCTACTACCCTGACAACAGTGAAACTAATCTTCAAGTGGCATTTGGGGTATTCTCATTCACCAGCAACATATACACTCTTCGCGACGGTAGCTACCATCTTCTCCACATGGATATGCGAGAAAATACCTTTACCTGTGACACTCTAACACTGGAACCCTCGGAGTACTTCCAGATACAGGGAGGAGACAGAGTGGACCCTCGTAACACTGGAACCCTCGGAATACTCCAGATCAGGAAGGAGAAGAGTGGGAGCTTACTCAGACCTGATGGAGACCACAGACTACCTTGACGTTCTCAGAGATCATAACAGTAGAAGAGTTGATTCATGGACAGGTGGTGGTAGCTGCACACAAGCAGATATGGAAATATCTCCTACTATACGTAATTCCAACAGACAAAGAGCACAGCTCCATCTTTACGTGGATATCAGTAAGTTTCCGGCCATCATAACACACTAGCATGGCCTGGGGAAATAATTGTTTGATGCAGACATTGATGAATGTGCTGTGGGGGAACACAACTGCCATACAAATATTGTGGGAGCTGATGGAAGCTTTCAGTGTTCTTGTAACACTGGATACTCTGGAGATGGTAGAAACTGCAACAGTAAGTGTGAAAAAGAATCAGTCTAGACCTAGTTTCAATAATATTATATAGATATTGATGAGTGCAGTACTGGTGCTCATAGCTGTGCACAGCAGGCAACATGTGCTGACACTGATGGCAGCTTCCTTTGTACCTGTAATACTGGATACACTGGCGATGGAACTGGATGCATTGGTCAGAATAAAATAAATCATAACTGACCCCATAGGGAACAGGACAACTTCTACAGATGTTGATGAGTGTGAACTAAACTATTGTGACGGGAATGCAAACTGTGGTAATATGGACGGTAGCTACACCTGTGTTTGTTCATCTGGATATTCTGGAGATAGATTAGATTGCTTCAGTAAATGTTATAATTAATGTGCGATAACTAATAATATAGCCCTCTTGTAAAGATATTGATGAATGTGCTACAAATGTGGGCAACTGTGCAGAACAAGCTACATGCACTGATTTTGAAGGCAGTTTTAGCTGTATGTGTAACACTGGATACATTGGAAATGGCCTTGATTGCAGCGGTCAGTTACCAATCTGATCAGGTACATGTGTCCTATTAGATATACTTTGCAGATATTGATGAATGTGACGATGATAACAGTTGTGATGAGAATGCAGAATGTACTAACTCGGTGGCAGCTATTCCTGTTTGTGTTTACCTGGATACTCTGGGGATGGAATGACCTGTTTCAGTATGTTCAGGTGTGTACCTACTTGCTCATGCTACTAAATACACTGCCCTGTAGTCGTCTGTGATCCGAGCTGTCACGCGAATGCAGAGTGTACACCAACCGGGGACTCTACTAGCTGTGTGTGTGGAGTTGGATACTCTGGGGATGGCATAACTTGTGACGGTGAGGAAGGAAATTTTCTCTGCGTATAAATCAGGAACTTATTCGGTTTTAGATATCGACGAGTGTGATATGGGTCTTTGTTCTGCCAATGCCGATTGTGACAACACTGTGGGTAGCTACACCTGCCAGTGTCAGTCTGGGTTTAGTGGAGACGGGGTGACGTGTACTGGTAGGTAACTTTTGCACCATTCTCTGTGTAGTGTGTGTGTGCACCAAACTGCCTAGATATTGACGAATGCACGAATGAAACTGACAGTTGTGATGATAATGCAATGTGTACCAATACCATGGGCAGCTACTCTTGTTCATGTCTATTTGGATACTCGGGAGATGGAGAGATGTGCATCGGTAGGAGTACACATAATGCTATGTGACTGACTATACTCAATCCATACAGATGTGAATGAGTGCGTGGAAACTGAGAATGCATGCAGTAGTTTCGCCAGATGTGCCAACACTAATGGGAGCTACACGTGCCACTGTCATCTTGGGTATATGGGAGATGGCATCGACTGCATGGGTAAGCTGCACGAGTAAGAGCCTAACATTCTTTATAGTTACAAGCTTTTGTGATCACTTTTCAATATGTTGCTTTTTCATGCTTGCACACACTCAGATGTGAACGAATGTGGGCTTATTCCAAATTTGTGTGGTCCTCGACTGTGTACCAACACTGAAGGAAGTTATGAATGTAGATGTGAAACTGGCTACATGTGGAATGAAATGCAATGCATCGGTATGTGCAAGAGTATAATAGCTATACATAGACTTTATGATCACTATTTCAGACATTGACGAATGCCTATCCCACTCGGAAAATAACTGTAGTGCCAATGCACACTGCCTTAATAATGGTGGTAGTTATGAGTGTGAGTGCATGGGAGGTTATGAAGGCAGCGGTTTTGAATGCACTGGTAAGTAATGCATTGAGTATCACTTTGTATGACCAGCTCATAAGCCGATATAGATATTGATGAGTGTGGGAGTACAGGATATGGGGGAGATGGCATCAATTGCTCAGGTGTTAACATGAGACTACTCATCACAGTCTCATCATATCAATTGCATGCTGGACAAACACTTCATTATACCAAATACCTGTACATGAAAAACATGGATTGACATATTATGTTAAAACCTTTTGCAGATGTTGATGAATGCAGTGTGAGATCCCATGACTGTAGCAAGAATGCCGAGTGTCTAAACATTGAGGGAGGCTACAACTGCCAGTGCTCAACTGGGTACACAGGGAATGGAAGAATATGTGAAGGTATTCATCATCCATATCCTACTATAACATGCAGGTCTAAGGGTGGCTTAGAGTGAGCTAGGTTCGAATTGACCAATCAGATTGCAAAGCCGAGGTTTACTATTTCCCGTAGTAAACCTCGACGGGGTTTACTATAATTATAGTAAACCTACAGAAACTACAAAACCTACAGTTAAAACAGGAAAACATAACAAAATGTACATGTAAACAACAAAATCAACAACTGAATCTACATTGACGCGTCGTCCACGCGCACGCGCAGACCCCCCTGCGCGCAAGAACCGTCACGCGCACGCACGCACAACCAGAAAAAGAAGGCGGAGTCGCTACCGCAAGTCCTCGGCCGCTTCGCTCTTCTTGCACTGCATTTTCTGGCGCTCTGAGCCAGAGTCATCGTTAGAAGCGCTCCGCCATATATACGAACGAACAGGAAAGCCAGAGCGCTCAACGTGAAGCGCTCACTCTAAAATAGTTAGACGCTGATTCCTCGGTAACCACGCGCCGGTAGAAAGCCTCGTGCCCCGGGGGTAACGCCCTCGCTGCGCTCGGGGCGCCACAATGCCGGGGCTCTCGGCTTTCTACTGCGCGTAGTTACATACCTCGAATCAGCGTCTAACTATATTAGAGAGTCGGTAGACTCTCTATATAGGGATGACGCGGGTGAAATCTCACGTGATCCGCGTACAAAACGACTAAAAACTCGGTGAGAATCACTCCCTAGGCCTTCAAAACATACTAGCAATAGTCTACGGGCCCATATCTACCTATACATGTCCCCCAAGACCTCATACGCACCTCCAGTCGTCCACGGGAGAATTCGCTCATACGCGATTTCACGATTTTCGTGTCATCATATTCTTCATCTTCTTCTTCTTCTTCTTCTTTAAACCCGCTATCTCCTTACCAGTACCAGTTCAAGCACTGATTTTTTCACTGAAGGTCTCCAATTTCGCCGGAGGTGTGCACGGACATCAAGCGATCGTTTCTTTCTTGCCGCTAGTCACTACGGTAGATCATGGAGCTCTTCCATGGTCAACAACGCCATTTGCTGCTTACTCAGCATCGGTGAGCCTCGCACATGCGCGAGGCAGGGGCGTTGTCCAATGCGGTTGCGAGCGTATTACCAGGCGAGTTGGCAGACCTGCAGAGAAACTCTCAACCTCCAGTACCTTCTGTAAGTAAGTGTGCACATTTCCAACTGGCTAGTTTGCTGTTGATTTGCACGAAGAGCAACTTGCCAGAGTCTACGTTGTGTTACGCGAGCCTCGCGGGGCACTCAGTCAAACGGGCCTTCTTTGTTTGTCCCCCAGGTTGTAGCCTGATTACCAAAGCCTGCCCATGAAACCACAACCATGTGCAATAATCTAATTACATCCTTGTTGAAGACAATACATGAGGTGAATGCGGTATCTAGCCCCTGCTTCAGGCACCATTATAGCTACTACTTTCAACAGTTACAATTTGTCTATGGTAGCCTATCTACAACATACCCATGAACATCAGAGTGACTATAACAATAAATGTAGTGTTGTCATAAGCTGTTAAAAAATAGTGGAAACAAGTGGAAAAATCATTTCTTCAAAATGAAAGGGGGATATAGGGATGGCTTGAAGCACCAAAAAGGAAGAAACAAGGGGTCATTACACAGCAAAGTTGCACAAAGCTACATGACACCATCCCTATATCTTTGTTTTATTGTTTATAAGCAAAGTTTAACCCTTTGGACACCATGGGTATCTCCTTAAATAAGCAGAAATTGATGTATAATATATTAACGCCTAGTATTATAGACATGATAATACATTCTTATGGACTTATGGAGGCTCTGGGCATATACATGCCCGTGGCTTGCTAAGGGTTAATATCGAACAAAGATATAGGGATGGTGTCACGTAGCTTTGTGCAACTTTGCTGTGTAATGACCCCTTGTTTCTTCCTTTTTGGTGCTTCAAGCCATCCCTATATCCCCCTTTCATTTTGAAGAAATGATTTTTCCACTTGTAATTATTAGATTCATGCTATATATCCTCCTTCAGCCCTGCCAGATGTTAGAGAGCCGGAGGAACAGAAAACTGGTGAAAATGGCTCTAACGTGGGACTCATATCAGGAGTTACAGTGGCAGGGTTCCTGGTTGTTGCTACTCTACTGATAATTGGATTCCTCTGTGCTCTTAAAATTAGAAAACACTCAAAGTCTATGAAGGTTCCTCTATCTATCAATGTTGCCTTCGGTAAGCCAAATCATAATTTGCCTGCACTCTCTGAAAGCACAAAACGGACTAGTTTAAACTTTATTGCAAAGGCAGATACAGAATAAAAACTTGTACAAAAGTCAGTGTATAAAAAAAGTCCATTCACCACACTTGCTACAGAGACATAAAGAAATCTGATGCTGTAGGTAATGAGGACTGCAACCTGTTGAATCACACTGGAAGAGCTAAACCTGATGTTATCACCACAAGCAGCAATGAGGCTTATGACCTAGTGACCCACAGTGCAAGAGCTGAACCTTCAATCAACACAAGTAGCAATGAGGCCTACAACATAGTGAACCTGACTACTAGAACTGAATCTAAAGCAATCACTACAATCAGATACGAGGCTTATGATATAGTGACTCCCAGTGCAAGAGCTGAATCTGTCAGGGTCACCACAAGCAGTAATGAGGCCTACAACGTAGTAAACCTGACTACTGAATCTACAGCTATTACAACAAACAGCAATGAGGCTTATAACCTAGTGACTCCCAATACACGGGCTGAATCTGATACCATCACTACAAACAGCAACGAGGCTTATCCCAGTGCGACGCATGATTCCAGAGCTGAATATGACTATGTCACCACTAACAAATGCTTCACAAACCCATTTTCTACTGATAATAATGGTGAATACACAACAGTAGGTATGTGAGGGAGTAGACTTATCACGCATGCATTATTATGTTACCTGTAATTACGTCATTATTCTAGAGCTTTCTTTAGTCATGTCATCTGTACTGGGATTAGTCAGTAGCACGTGGTAGGACGTGAGTCATCAGTCAGAGAGTTTTGTATCGTATGTCAGTGTGTCTGTCGCCGACCGTGGGTCGAGTCTGTGTGTGTGTGTCACAGGTGCCTGTATCCTCACTAAATATAATATTTTAATAGACTGCGCAGCGGCACCATCACAAGGTTACAGAGGCCCTCTCAATATCTGCAACCAAGTCACATTCCTGAACCATGGGCACAGGTGGATCACGCAGTCTATTTTGCGCACGCTAGAAAGAGCATGTCACAATGTCCTCTTCTACAGTTAAAAATCAGGCTAAAACTCTACTGCTGTGTTCTTGGAAAAAAGGAGGAGTGCCGAAAGATCATTGACTGCACCCCTTTATGTTTTTTAGAAGTCCCTTAGGTACCTGACCAGCCATCTCTAATTATGTTTCTTTACACTCCTAAGCATTATAAGATCTTGTTTTAGCTCATTTGGCGTTTTGAGGTGAACCTGTTGTATAAATAGTCAAGCATAAAAAGTGCCAGGCTGGAGCTAGAGCAAGCAGACATATGTCATTCACATGCATACCCCTCAGAGGAGGTCGGACATGCGCAGGGATTGCCTCATTGTAAATGAAATTTATGCTGACACAGAATGTGCTGTAGCAAAACCAAGCGGGATTCAGAGAGGATTTGCGACTGACTCGATGAAATATGTAAGAAAGACACTGAAAATCCTATTATCCCCAGTAATTCCCTACTATTCGGCAAGTTATAGTGAAGAATACTAAAACTCCGTCACACTCACAGTGTGAGCCCTATAGAGCGAAGCCATTCTCAATAAGTTTTGGGTAGGCAACCCCCTGAACTATACCCCTAGCTGGGATGGAGAATGAGAGGACAGTGTTGTGGGGTATAAATTAGAGGAGGATGTCCAAACCAGACTTTCTGGGGTCCAGAGATATCATTGACGCCCACGCAATTTGCTGAATAAGCGGTGCGCACAACACATGCCCAAAAACCCAACCCTATAATTACAAGTGGAAAAGTCATTTCTGTGAAATGAAAGAGGATGTACGATATCACATCATGAAAAAGAAGGGAACAAGAAGATGCCTACACCGAAAGTCATTCATAACCCCATCCCTACATCTCTGTCTCAGGATACTAGAAACCAGTTTAGCTATGTATACATCTATTCTATAGTTTGTATATGCACATGCATTCATGACTAGAAAAAGATTGAAATACAAAGATGTAGGGATGGGGTTATGAATGATTTTCTGCCTGGGTGTAGGCATCTTCTTGTTTCCTTCTTTTTCATGATGTGACATCCCTACATCCTCTTTCATTTCACAGAAATGATTTTTCCACTTGTTGCAGTCATCTTTTATGGCTAGTATGCATCTGTATGCCTTTATGTATAGCTAGAGATGGGCCCGAGAGGTTTTGCTGGTGTATTTAGAACGCCTACAGAGGCGTTCTCGCTTAGTTTGGAGGCGTTATGTACGCGGATCACGTGAGATTTCACCCGTGATGGCCATCCACCAATGCCGTCGACTCGATCATAGAGCGTCTACTCTGATAATGGTCGCGTTCTATGGCGTGTAATCAGTGTCAAAAATA